CTATGTTTGTTATACAATGTCTGAAAAATTATGGAGAAACATACGAAAATAGGTATTATACATATATATATAAATTAATCTTGAGTAATGGAAGAAGTAAGTTATTTTACTAAATAGTTATGCCTATTAGCCTGGTAGTTAAAAAAGGATGTGACTTTTTAATTTCTAAACAAAAAGAAGATGGTGGTTGGGGTGAATCCTATAAAGTTCATATCATTATACTGATGTTTTATTATGCTTATCATATTCAATATTATTGATTTTTTGCTTTTTTTTATAAATAGTCGTGTGATACAGAAACTTATATACATCATGAAAACTCACAAGTCGTAAACACAGCTTATGCATTGCTTGCTTTAATGGCAGGTAAATACCCAAATGAGGAGCCTATTCGACGTGGTATCCAGGTACATAAGTTGATTTTTACTAAAAGTGCAGCACACTTTTATTTTTTTTAATAGAGAATTATTGTCAATATATTTATATAAATATCAATTAACCCCATCTTTTTGCAGCTTATTATATCACGACAATTACCAACTGGAGAATGGAAACCAGAATCCATAGAAGGAATATTTAGTAAAAATGCCGCAGTTTGTTATCCAAGTTATAAATTTATTTTTACTATTTGGGCATTAGGCATGTATGCCAAAATTTATAAAAATCCTATAATTTTTTAAAAATACTTTGAACATTTTTGAATTGTTGAAGTTTTTACAATTATATAGTAGAAAATACAAGCAAATATTTAATTAATAATAATACCGAATCAGAAAATTTTCCTTATATATAGTAAAGCATTATTTTATATATATAATCAACTCTCTCTAAGTGCTAGTCAAAATAACTTGCATTTAGAGAGAAATTGCAATTAAAGAAAACCAAGTTAATAAGTTAAATAAAAATATAGAAAAAACCTTTAATTAAATAAATCAATTTAATTGGTTAATAAATATCTTGCAATTAGAGAAAATATTTATATATGTTGGCTAAAAAAAAACTTGCACTTATATTATAAGTTAGACCTCCTCATGCATTAAGGAAGTAATATCCATAAGTATCATATAAGTTGGATCAAACAAAATCTTGTATTTAGAGGTTTTTTATAGGCTAAGAATTGTATTTAGAGGAGTTTAACTGTATATTAACTAGCAATAAATTTAGCGAACTAGTATTTATACTTTCACATTTGGTATTCATACTTACGGGTTCGGGTCGTTTCGCCAACAATTAATTCCCCGACACTTAATTTACCGACAATCCATTTAATAGTCATTTTACTGACAATTATTTCTTCAACAGTTATTTTACCTACAAATTATTTCACTGACAGCAATTTCACTGACAGTCATTTCGCCGACAGTCATTTTGCCATAGTGATATGGGATGAACACGGCCCATCAGCCAGGTGGGTCAGCTCTCGACCCGCACATTATGGATCGGCCCGGCTGGAATATAGTCATCCAATAGGAATTCATTGTATAACTTATGATTATTACTGAACGATACGATAATAATAAAATCTTTTAGCAAAATCTTTTCCGTTTTAATCAAAAAGGAAAAGTGACGGGTCATGAGCTGATCCAAAACCAATAAGAGATCATACACATGACAAAACGTTAACATAAAAGCAATGATCAGAGTCATGACGCCGAAAGAAATTGAAGCGAATTAATAATCACTTATTTCAAAACAAATACGTATGCCACTAATTTAATTCATTCTGAATCGCCCTAAGGGTAATGACTAGATATATAAATTTATAATAGCCAATGAAACTTTCTTACGTGGGGGAGTGGTATAGTAAAAAAATATTACGTAATATCTGTCACTACCCTAATAGTATAAATTTATTTTAAACTTATTATGTGTTACAGATATTAAATTTTAAAATTCTGAAGTGTAATGAATAATTATTGTTGGTCGACGAAATGACTGTCTGTCGGCAAAATAACTGTCGGCAAAATGACTGTCGGGAATGACTGTCAATGAAATAATTTGTAGGTAAAATAAATGTCAGCGAAATAATTGTTGGTAAAATGACTACTTCGGTAAACTGACATTCTATTTCTTTGAAAATATATTACCGAAAGCTCTTTTACTGAAGAATGTCTTTACTGAATTTACAGTTAATTTTATAAATTCTGGGGTTACCTGATAACTTGAAAAAAGGTATAAACTAATTTTCCAACAACCATTTCACTAGCAGCCATTTCACTGACAAAGTTGGCCTGGTTTATGCTGAGTTGGCCTGATTTATGCAATTTTGTTCAATTGATTTTTGGGAAATTTCTTTTTGAGGAATAAATTTTCGGAAAAACATCTTTCGGAGAAACCCCTTTCGGGGGTTCTACCACAAAATCCGAAAACCATTTCCCGAAAGAACATAATACAGACTAAATTGACCAGCATTATAACTAATGCCGGCTAACTTTATCGGTATTAGGTTCTTTCAGGAATCTGTCTTTCGGGATTTTGTGGTAAAACCCGTAATGGTTACTCGAATCAAATTTTTTTAACAAATTTGAATTAAAAAACACACACACATAT